ATGAGGGGAACGCCAAAGATGCCAGGGAGGGCTTGATCTAAGTGTGCGCGCAAGACAGTCAGTGATTGCGCGCGGGAAACAAAGCGGGCGACTGCGGCGGCGATGGCGGCGGCAGCGTACCTTTGTCATCTTCCTTCTTCGCGGGGCGCTTGCTAAACTGCCTCCACCACGAGGTCAAATCCCGCTTGGACGAGGCGGGCTCGGGAGTGGCCAACGGGGCAGGCTGGGGCTCCCCATTGCGCACGCGCGGAGTCTGGGGATTGGTGTGCGTGCCTGCGGGCATGGCAAGGGCGGAGGGGAGGGGTTCCGAAGAGCGATGGCTGCTCTCCAGAGCAAAAAGAAGAGGAGCAACGGGCGGGCAGTCGTCGATCGCAGGCGGTGCTGTGGAGTTGGCTCTTGTTCCAGGCACAGGTGGACCCCGAGTGGGCAGGCAAGGCGGCAGCTATCTGGGGGGGCCGCTACGTGACGTCGGCTTCTGGTAGCGAGGGATGCGCAAGAGCTGCCAACGGGCGACCTCCTCGTATTCCGCGACCGCTCTTCGCTCAGTCAGGCGGCGCACAGCAGGACGAGGCGGGAGGGGCGCGGGCTGGTCAGGATGCGCGAGCGGGCGGGCGGGTGGATGGGTGAGGGAGCGAGAGCGAGAGTAGCGAGCCAGCCAGCAAGCGACGCGACTCTACGCTGGCCTGGTCTGGTCTGGGGGGGCAGAGCGAGAGGGGCGGGCAGCAAATTGGTGAGGGCGGGCGGTTAGGGGTGGGCACAGATGCGCAGCTTGCGTGTCCAAAGGCGCTTTTCAAGGCATGTGTGGGCGCAGAGAAGGCGACGCTGAAACTGGGGCTCGGAGCGACAGAGAGAGCATGCATGCAGGGCTGCTGGCTTGCGTAGGTGATGCTCGCGGCCAGGCGAGGCGAGGCGAGGGAGTTCGAGTGGCTGCCCGATGACAACAGCAGCGAGTGCCTGCCGGCCAATCCACGCAAAACGGCACCGCGTCGCCTGACATGCCTACATGCAGCCTGGAATCATTGCCACAGCCATGCAGCCCGAGACGGAGAGGCACAGAGGGAGCATGCGGCGCTATAATTAACCCCCAGCGCTCCATACCCACGTACTTGTGTACGTACATGCTACCCATCTTGCAACTGCGTCTTGGGTGCATTGTATGTACATGCGTACGTATCGAGTGCCCATGGCTGGCCTTGCACCGCACCGTACACAGCGAGTAGTAGTAGCAACACCTCCATGCTTTTCCATAACCCTATACATACATATATATATATATATATATATATATATATCATTGCCAATGGCAGTCATGTCCGTGAGACATGCTTCTGCTCTTACTAATCCAGACGTGGGCAAGCATCTTACGTAGTCCACGCCCACACCGGATCCCACGACTCGTCTTTACATAGTAGTACAAATGGCATGTTTCTGTGTCAGCGCATGGCCAGGCTGGCCACTGTATCCAACCCTGACTGTCGCTCGCTTTGCAGTCGGCATTCCGCGCGTCGTCCCTCATCGCCACTAGGCAGCCTTTGTCTCTCCGCCGCAGAGATTTCCCTTCTGTCCATCTATCTTCCGCCCATGCCGCCGCCCTGGGCCATGGCAGCATTCTGCTCTTGGAAGCGGTCGCCTAGTCTCTGCGAGCCCTTCATGTGCTTGTCGACGCATCGCATCACGCAGCTCTCTTCGCGCGAGGTGAGAGACTTGCTCTCGAAGCCGTTGACACAGTGGTCAAAGCATTGCTGCACCAGGTTCGAGTACATCTGCCATCCCATGTCAGTCGTTGAAGCCCAATATTTCGACTCAAAAGATGCTCTACGTACGTTCATGAATTCCTTCATCTGCTTCTTCTCCATGCGCGACTGCAGCTCGCGCTGCTCAGATGCCGTGAGGCTAGAGACGCTGCATTAGCTTTTGTGCAATGTTTCGCAGCCGAAAACAATTCACGTACGAGTCCATGATTACTGCCTTTGTTTATCTTTGCTGGAGAGTTCGAGTGAGATTGGCCGGTGCAGGGTATCCGAATCAGAAATTTGGCATGACGTCGGGTTGGTTTGTGACAGACGACACAGGCGTTTCAAAGTGGGGCGCGCTGCTCTAGAGGCCGCTGCTAATTGGCTAGTGCTTGGAGCCATGTTCAAAGATAGCCTCGCCCACGATGAAGGATTGCCTATAGTTACACTGCTCAAAGTTAAACATGGCACAGTCTGCATATTCAAACCACAGTGTTTCCCACACCCTGTATTGCAAGTATTCAAGCTCAACTTCCTTCAACCTCAGCAGTCGATGTTTGACAATCTAACGTGTGATCCCTAACCCAATTCCCACGCCCTTCGCTCTTCCACCCAATCCCCCTCTTTCTCAGCAAATCCATACACTCTTCAACCTCGATTGCCAGCTGCTTGCTACCACAGTCTCTGCTTGTAAACTTTGCCTGGTCAGCAAACTCAAATACACCTAAGTAGCTCGCAATCACTTTGTAACTCTCCCGCCACTCGAGCCAAAAGTCACTTGATTGCGCTCTGCCCCTTCTCTTGCCGTCGCTGAGCACATTGTTCTCTGGCCCAGGCGCTAGTTGTACACTGATCTTGTTGACCGTTGGAATGCGGTGAAGAGCGCGAACAATCGAAGTAATGTTTGCGGCAAATGGAAAGACGCCTGTGAAGCTGAACGATGTCATGTTGCAGCAAGGTTGCGTTTCCCTGAACAGGCGTATGAGCAAATGGAAAAGTATCCTTGGTGTTTGTTTCAAATGATATTCATATGTGCTGTACGCGGCAATGGACGAGCCCTCGTTGTAGCCCATATGATACCAGGGTCTTTGATGGATGAGGGCAGAGCCCCATGTGCGGCAATTGTCTTGCATATGAGCAGTACGGGGCGGTTCGTCCTGAATTAACTCGATATAATGCATCTTCATATCAAAAGCCCACACATCGTTGCTCCGCATTGGTGAATCCAGTAGTCCAGCCATTGTCGAGGGTGGAGCAGCAACGACAATGCGTGTAGGCTCTAAGTGAGAGAATATTTGCGTCCAGATATCAGTCACCCCGCGCGCTAATGGTGCTTCTGCAGCAGATACATGAGACAGCTTGTATTCCTTGTTTGTCTGCACCACCACACTCTTGATGTGATGCTTCAGTGCGTACTGTGCCACGAATCGACAAAAATTTGTAAATGATTTCGGAAGATGCGGAAGCCATAAAATGTTTGGAACTGACTTGAGAAACTCATCTCCCTCTTGGATGCGGCATAAATTGACCAGAACATCATCCATGGCTGGTTTGAATGCAAACCCCGAGCTGCTCTTGAACTTGCTCCGCAATCTTGTGTAAATGACGAATTCGTGATTGCTCAGTTTGGTCAATTGCTCCTGCATACTGTCAACGAGCCGTGCGTCTAATGGCACCCATTGCGGCTCATCGTCAAGTGGTATCCGCGAATAGCGGAAGAGTATGGGTAGAACAATCTTTCTCCAACGCCATGATACCTGAGACAAGGTTTTGAGTGGAGTGAACTCGGATTGTGTAAGATGTTCAGAAGGCTCGTGGGTGAACTTTGTGATTGAAGGCGGTTCTTGGTGTAGCTGCGAAGCAATCTGCGATAAAAGCTCGTTCGGCAGCGACTGCATAGCGATGAATCGACTAAATTCTTGTTTTGAATCTTATCGCATGAGATGACAATCAGTCTTTTCTTGGAGCAGAAAAATCAAAAACGGCCAAATGGTCATGTGGAATTGTATGACTAGAGTTTAGGTAGGAAGGTCGTCGGGCGTGATAGTCCCACTACCATCCCCGCAACTGTCCACGTTATTATGTCATACCGTTTCTGGCTAGCGGCTCTAATCATTGGGACATTTTGCGTCGCCATCATTTATGAAATACTACAAAAATTACCCAACATGCTTCAAATATATACTTTTCACTATTCGCCTCGATGTAGGTTAGAAGTTAGCACGTACAGCGCCCTCTAGCCACGCAACACCAGCCATAACTCCGTCCACAACTCTCACTCTTTTACCCTCGACATCTCCCAATTCCTCTATACACGCCTCCCTGACCATCTCGTCCATGCCAGCCATACCAGCACAGCCCAGACAGATGGCGCCAACCTTGTCTTTCTTCAAAAGCCGCTTCACGGCATCTTTCATCCGCTTGCGCACCTCGTCGGCAGGCGCATCGTGCAGATCCGTGGCGTTGAGCCCTGTAGTTTCCACGCCCGCAAAGCGCTTGCTAGCTTCTGAGCCCGTGCCCAAAAAATCAATTGTAGCATCAGTCAGGATGGACTCCCAGACCTTGCCTGTGCTGACGATGCCAAACTTTTCATCAGGATGTATAATCTGAAGTGATGTGCCCACACTGGCCTCGAATATACCAGTAACGGGCTTGCGAGAGCCTCTCACAGTAGCATGCTCTTTCAGGCGTGGCACGAGAGGATGCTTCGAGTAGCATGCGACAAGGAAGCCATCGTAGCGTGCGAGGTCTTTCTCTAAAGCGGGCAGGCAATGGTCTACCGACTCGGCAGCGTCGTCTTCATTGTTGATGCTCTTTGGGCCTGAGGGTGCAGTGAAGTATTCGTGTGCGGTCTACTAGCTACAGTTAGTCGCTGGGTCGTTGCTGTGAGTGGCGTTTGATTGACGTCTTTGAATTGTAGCGCATCGACAAGTGGCTTGAGGCCATTCGTCATTTGCTCCGTAGAGTTGGGATTGATGATTAGAACAGACCGCATCTTGCTGTATCTGGGGTTGTGGCCGTGACGATACTCGCCCATGAGTCTATTATGAACTACGTAGAAGCTACCTTCACAAATTCCATTTGCCCCGCCCTCAAGGTTGACCTAAATGGCGCGAGATGGGAGAGGTGGAGCCCGAGTCCAGGGTATGACAGATGACGTCATTCTTTCAATAAAGGCTTGGCACTTGTCTCAAGCTGTTTGTAAACAACGACTGGTGACGAGGGCACTAAACCCCCAAAGATGCTTAATTTATTAGGCTACTGAGGTTATGGAACATGTATGAATCTGGTCGTATATGTGTGTGTGCGTGTGACTTCGCATGCATGTGACGCTAGGAAGCTATGCACAGCTTCCACTTGTTCACCGCCGTTCAGATTCGAGCCGTAACGCCATCGCAAAACAAAGGTATCAAGATATGGACGTGTTAAGAGCTGCATATGTAAGCTGATGGTCACCGTTGATGAGACTGTTTGACGTACAAGTCGTGAATGGTTGATGTGAGGAAGGTGGATGCTTAGCGGAAGCAAGAGAAACGACCGCACGAGATGCGAAAGGGTGCGCGTCGAACACCATGTTTGTCAACAATGATACCGCCACCTGTAAATCTGTTAGCAGCTGCTTGCCAAGTTTGAAGTGTCGGGTCCATCTTACCAGCCCTCTTTCCACCAAAGCCCTTGTGCCACATGAGACCCATGGTTGTAGTGTGTGTAAGCGTGTGTTTGTTCGTGGATGTGAGTAGGTGTGAGTGGAGTGTGAAATAGAAATTTAGTGGGGAAGTACTATGAGGTCCGATGGAGAGGTGGAGCAGGGGCAGTTATATATTATTATACGTGGCTGGCTACACTGGCCCAAACAAGTGAAGCAAGATTGTTGTACATTTGCGTCATCAGTGGCTGATGGTTGAGGCCAAGAGCTTGGAAGTAGCACTGCCACAGCTTCATACCACACATTCTCGACTACTAGGCTCTTGCCAGACCGAAGCTTGCACAGGACAAGTCGATCGACAAGACAATCCCCCACGTCTAGATCGAGGCGCAAGGGAGAAGGCGACCCCTATTCCATCACCATGCTTTTGGTCCAGACCCTTGGAAACGGCACGTGAAGCAAAATACAGCTTGGCCCACTGAGGGCCAAGGTTACGAAGAATCACACGCGGACCACTTTGCACATGAATTCCCATGGCTTGCTATGGACTTATTTTCCCAGTGTCAAGAATAGCCTGTCTCCAATATCGCCTAGTCCCGGCTTGATCATTCCTTTGTCATCAACACCCTTATCGCACGCACCAACCCACACCTCAACGCCCTCCTCCCACTCACTACAGGCCTTTTGAAGCCCCTCTTCAGTAGCCAGAATACTGCAGACAATGATCTTCTTAACACCCCAGTCCTTGAGCGTATCAATAGCCGCACAAGCTGTCGCACCGGTCGCTATGATGGGATCGACGATGATGGCCAGCTCGGGCTGGGGCTTGGTGGCGCCAGACGTGTGCGGGGTGTGGTACGGTAGATTGTTGTAGTACTCGACTGGTTGCAGGGTCGTCTTCTCGCGGTAGAGACCCAGGTGGTGGATGGGGACTGGGGTAGGGAGGAGGGATGAGAGCGCAGGGACCATGGAGAGACCAGAGCGCAGAATAGGCACGAGCGATATGGCAGAAGGGGCGGGTGAGGTGGTGCTCGTTATGTACTCATACCCCAAGGGCGACTTGTCCTGTAACCATGTTGTTAATGCATGTGCAGATTACACCATTGCTTGTGCCACACGCACTGAGGGCACACGGTTGGTTTTTGCATGATTGTTTGAGTGGAAAAAGCATGCCAATTCTCAGATGTGCGTGTGTGTGCACATGAAAGCAAGGTGGAATGGGGACTTACTGTGCTTCCCTGCTGTGATTTCAATCCTGAGGCGAGGGCTTCATAGCCCACCATGAGGGCGATCTCATGAACCAGCGTCTGTGCATCCCGGGAACCCGTGCTTGCTGACCGTAGCTGGGAGAGTTTTGCCTGAAGACAAGGATGGGTGGACACGTGTGCGTTCTTGGGGAGGTTGGTGGTTGCCATGATGATGTGCGGATGTCTGTAGTGTCTGCGTCGGACTGTCACGTGCGATTGGGTGGACGGTGTGATGACACAGATTCGAAGCAGCCAAGCTTGCAGCGAGACAAGTATGGGTGTATATATACAGAGCTTGGGAAGCGAATATTGCTTGTTCAATTCACGGCGGGCATGAGATAGGTAGGTCGAGTAGCGCTACCCCAATGCGGGCGATAACAGCTGACCCGGCGTCGGACAGCGCCGCCCACGCATGGACGAAACAGGGCTGTCCCTGCGCCAATCGGAGAATACAGAAATCGGAGTCAGTGCTCGTGCACTTGGGCATGGCGCAAAAGCCTTGACAACAAATATGGCCCTGACGGGTGTTTATACTTTGTTCTTTGCTTCAGAAGGGGGGCGGAGGTCGAGGGCTGTCTGACGATATATACGCGCTACACGACGGCAGGAACTGATATACATCGCGTTACGGGACAGTCTGCTGCGTGGCCTGCCCGACTCCAGCACATCCGTATACAAACAGCTATCATATCCACTCCTCTTCCAGGCCGTGAGGTGAGATGAATTGAGGGCGACCCAGTTTCTGGTACGGGCCCACGTCATTGTACATCCCAATCTGCAGGCACCCGAGACGCCTGATATGGCGGACCATGCTGCAAACACAGCAGCCGACGACTACGACGATGTTCCCACCAAGCGCCAGTCTCACTACAATAACCAACGATCGTCGCTGCGCTCGTCGCTCATCTTGGAAGAGCCATCCGCCGGCCCGCGACTGCAACCCCGGTCCCCCAGCGATGCCACGCGACTCGACTTCGACCTCGACTCGGGCATTCCACCCTCAGCCTACGACGACATTGAGCCCTCACCGCTGTCTGCCGGGTCAACCGCCTCGCCTGCGCCCAACGTCCCATACACGCGTCAGCGCCAGCGCACCGACAGCACCTCGAGGTGGAAGGACAAGAACTCGAGCAAGCGCACGTCGCGAAGCACCGCCGATTCCAGGCTCGACAAGTCGCACGACCCAGACGACGCCCTAGTGCCAGGCTCCTGGCTGCACGTCTTCAACGAGGCTGCCCAATCGCCCACTCTACCTGCAGCATTCCACAGGCCAAGGACGCGAGGACAGAGCGGCAAGGCCGACACCGAGCCTGTAAACTCATCGGTGCCACAGGTCCAACCATCAGCAAGACTTGCAGTCCCGCAAGAGCGTCCGATACCCGGTTCACCGTCGGCTTCGCAACTGAGCATCACCGCCCTGCCCAGCATGGTGTCTGGGAAGGAAGAAGATTATGCCGGTCGCTATGTGCGTTCGAAGCCCACACCAGGAGCACGGAGAGCATCTCAGATAGCAACAGAGCTGTACACAGTCTCTTACTTGATATTCTTCTCCATCTGGGGAACACTGGCGCGTGTCGGCCTTCAAGCCCTCACTTTCTACTCCGGCACACCTCTGACCTTCTCTGAACTATGGGCCAACGTCGCCGGTACATTAATAATGGGCTTTTTAGCAGAAGACCGTCGTCTATTTGCTGCAGAGTGGGGAAATCGGGGACAAGGCCTGCCAGAACCCTCGGACGAACCTGCACTTCAACAGGCCGACAAAGCGCGCCACGGAAAGGTGAAGAAGACGATTCCAATGTACATTGGCCTTGCAACTGGGTTCTGTGGTTCATTTACAAGCTTTTCAAGCTTTATTCGAGACGTCTTTTTATCGCTATCCAACGATCTCAAAGCGCCCATCAGCCATCCGTACCCTCCAAATACCCCGCTTCCTCCGACAAGCAATCTTTTACCCAGGAATGGCGGATACTCTTTCCTGGCTCTGTGCGCTGCCATTATCATTACCACAGCTACATGTTACTGTGCATTGCACGTTGGCGCGCATATAGCCCTTGGGCTAGATCGCTTCACGCCGACACTGCCCTTCCGCGCCACGCGCCGCATCGTTGATCCGATTTTTGTTGTTTTGGGCTGGGGCGTATGGCTCGGAGCGATCATCATGGCTGCTGTTCCACCAAATGACGCGTGGCGTAGTCAAGCCCTCTTTGCTTGTGTCTTCGCGCCTGTCGGATGCCTACTCCGGTACTATATTTCCTTGTACCTGAATCGGATCAATTCGTCTTTTCCCGTCGGTACCTTTACCGTCAACATATTCGGTACCGCGGTCATTGGCATGGCATACGATTTGCAACACGTATCGCTCAGTACCACGGGGCTTGTCGGTGGGGGCATCGTAGGCTGCCAGGTGCTGCAGGGTATCATGGATGGCTTCTGCGGCTGCCTGACTACCGTATCAACTTGGATTGTTGAAATCGATGCTTTGAAGAGGAAAGCTGCGTATGTGTACGCAAGCCTGAGTGTTGTGACATCATTCGCGCTTTTACTTATTATTATGGGGAGTGTAAGATGGACTGTGGGATGGGAGGTCATTTTGTGCAAGACCTAGCAAGCTTGTACATGTCTAATAGCCAGATGTTTCTTCTGGCATGAAATGTGGCGCATTTGGGAAATGTATTCGACCGGTAGTTTGATACGATATGAAGGAACAGGCGAGGGTAATGTGTGTATGATTTTCTTCTATCTTGGCTCGATCCCCTCATATACCCCAGAATAATAGGCATGGATTTCTTTTTGGTTAAGTGGTATTCCCATCAAGCTGAAAGTATAGCCCCCAATGGTTCTTGCAGCCTGGATTGAAATTACTCATGCATCTTGTGCATTTGCTTCCGCTCTTCAGGTACTCGTCTACGGTCAGGACATGCTTGCATTGCCCACATAGCACGGCACTCTCATCCCGTCGCGTTTGGGGCCAAACTTCCGATGTATGTGTCTCGAGTGCATCGTGGCAGCTTATGCATGCGTAGAATTTCTTGCAGCAGAAATGCTTAATAGCGATGATGTCGAGCGGGGAGTGCCAATGTGCGCATTGCGTGAGTGGTGTTACTGATAGGCCATAGATGGTAGAGTCCCCATTGTTTTCTGCGGGCTCGGACATGATGTTGGCGTGGCGGTTCTAGCCAGCGACAAGTCCGCACGTGGAGTTCGGAAGATGTTGGTTGTGTGAGGCTTGGCTGAAGGATAACTTCGGGACGATCAGTGGACCGTTTCTGTCATAGCCGCACCTCTTCAAGTCTGCAAACACCAAGCAGGTCGTGAAGTTGCGCTATTATTGCTGCTGCACAAATGACCCAAGTAGCTGTAAATGCATGGTAGACCCTTTCTGCACGCTGTCCTGCTCTCGAGTTGACAGCCAGTGAATTACTTAGGTGCACAACCGGGGTTGCCAGTTGAAAAACAGAAATTTCACGATGGGGTCCGCATCTCCAGTCTTTCAGAAGCAAGCCGGGGTTCGGCGAATCTCTCAAGACGTCACTGGCCCCGCGCGTTACCCCCCGCTAAGCTTTAATAGCTACTGTAGCTCAGCTCAACAACGCATCTCTAACACACCTGAACTCACCTTCAATTGAGCATACTTGATACCCTCGCATATTCTTTCTAGCCAGTTTGTATAAAAACAACCGCCAAAATGGGTCGCCAATTCTTCGTCGGTGGAAACTTCAAGATGTACGTTACAACCCGAGCCGTGAGTACCTGCACGACAAGGGCAAAGAGCTGACCGTCCTAAAGGAACGGTACGATCAAGTCGATCACCGAAATCGTCGATAACCTGAACAAGGCCAAGCTCGATGAGAACACTGGTAAGTGCAAATCGCCATATGAGCCTTAGCAAAGGACTTGGAACCTGCATCACACCACTGCAAATACAGCAAGCTGACACATGCAAACAGAGGTTGTCATTGCACCACCATCTCTCTACCTCCTCCTGACCCGCGAACACCTCCGCAAGGGAATCGAGGTTGCAGCGCAAAACATCTTTGACAAGCCCAACGGCGCCTTCACCGGCGAGATCTCAGTCGAACAGCTCAAGGACAGCGGTATCACCTGGACTATCCTTGGTCACTCTGAGCGCCGCCAGATCCTACAGGAGAACGACGACTTCGTTGCCAGCAAGACAAAGGCAGCAGTTGACGGTGGTCTGGGTGTGATTCTGTGCTGTGGTGAGAGTCTGGAGCAGCGTGAGGCGGGTGAAACCGTCAACGTTGTTACCAAGCAGCTCAAGGCTGTTGCCGACAAGGTTAAGGACTGGAGCAAGATCGTCGTTGCCTACGAGCCTATCTGGTATGTCGGCATGGGGGAACACTAGCTACTCAAACATGATATACTAACCAATACCAGGGCTATTGGTACCGGCAAGGTTGCTACCACTGAGCAAGCCCAGGAAGTCCACGCCGCTCTCCGTGAGTGGCTCAAGAAGGAGGTCTCAGCAGAGGCTTCTGAGAAGACCCGTATCCTGTACGGCGGAAGTGTCTCGGAGAAGAATTGCAAGGAGCTTGCCAAGCAGCCCGATATTGACGGTTTCCTTGTTGGCGGTGCCAGCTTGAAGCCTGCGTTTGTCGACATTATCAACAGCCACCAAGCATGAATCCCCCGGGGCGATGCTCGTCTATAGCTGACGAATGCTCGCACTGGAAGGAAAATGATGAAGTTATGAGAACTAGGTCTTTGCCAGAAACCAAAAAGGTTGGAGCATAATAAACGCTTTTGAAGATCATTGATGGAGATTGATGTGACCTGTGAATGATTTTTATTCATTTTTTTATTCATTTGATACACTATTTGTACACATGATTTGTTCGGTGCACTTGGAGTAGCATGGCTTGTCTGCCTTCACTTCTACCCAAGTGCTGTTTGGCTTGGCGGCACTGGCCGTGTAGTCGAATCGCTTTGGTCTTTGACGGTCGACATTCGTGACTTGTGCTACCAGCTATTTCGAAATCCTAGGCCCCTTCAAATTCCTATATCTTGATCTTGCTTCCGTGGAACGGACTCCAAATACCCCTCACGCTTTCATTCAAACTCTTCACCGGTCGTCCGTCTAGTTTCCTGTTCTTCTCTCCCGTGCTGTTCCTCAGCATCTCGGCCTTTTCCCGTACGCCCTCATTTTGCAGGTTCTTGACGCATATCGATCGCTGGGCTCCGTTGATGTAGTTTGCGATAATGACCGGGTGGTGGGCAGGCCGTGGGCTGACGGAGATTTCAATCTGAGGGTTGCGCTTGGCAAAAGCTGGAAGGGACGACTTGATGAAGGCATTCATGCCGCGCGAGGACCCCCACCAGTTGCAGTAGTGGAAGGTCAAGGATTTGCAAGGCAGGACAAAGGCCCCAACGCCATTCTGTGAAAGTGCAATTGTTAGCAACTGGCGTGGGAGGGAGATCACAATAAAGGCATTCTCGGGGTCTGGACATACTTGAGACTTTGCGACCGTCTTGAGAGCCGCGACAGGCATGTTGGCGTGCAATTGCGGCTGGGAGGCTCGTAGTGCCTTCTCTTGGCCAACCTCGGAGGCCAAAGTCTGGCTGCCGGCGCACTGTTCTCACGTGCCTGGTCGCAGCCTAGGATTGCGCTAGTGCGAACTTCGCGTCGCAACTTGTTGCCAAGCCTATCAGCCCCCAAAGAACCAGAATCACCTTCACTCATCGTCACTTCTTCAACACTCCACCCCACATTTCCAACTACTCCACATCGCCATCTGGAGCGCATTCCAGAAGTCACGCCAAAATGACACATTTACTCCCGCCGATGCTGTTGAACCTCTTCGCCCCGCGGCCGCCACTGCGATGGGTTGAACCTACTGACCACGCGCCAGAGAAGCGCTGCACCCCCAAGATTGGTGGCATTGCGCAATACATGGACGCCTTACGCGAATACAAGGACAATGATGGCTACGTGCCCACCGACAGCTGGCTGCAGAAACGCGACCGCAAGAAGCTCGAAAAGAAGGAGAAACAGGAGAAGCTTATCACCGAAGGTGTCAAGAATTGTACGTCAGGACGCGCAGATGAGTTTTTCATAATTGCAACCCTAACTCTGATACAGACAAACCCTCCGAAGATCCAAAGGTACAGGGCGACGCCTTTAAAACACTCTTCGTGTCTCGTCTATCCTACGGTGTTACCTCTGACGATCTCGAGCGCGAGTTTGGTCGCTACGGTCCTATTGAGCGTATCCGCATCGTCGAAGACATCACGCAGCCAGAAGACGCGCCACCCAAGAAGCGCAAGCGCGGTTATGCCTTCATTGTGTTCGAGCGTGAGAAGGACATGAAGGCTGCCTACAAAGAGACAGATGGCATCAAGATCAAGGACCGACGTGTTTTAGTAGACGTTGAGCGCGGTCGCACAGTTTCTGGCTGGCGTCCACGTCGCTTTGGTGGTGGCCTTGGCGGTCGAGGTTACACAAAGGGGCCAGCTGCCCGCGGACCTGGTGGCGCAGGAGGTTTTGGAGGCGCCCCTGCCGGGCCTGGTGGATTCGGGGGCCGTGGTGGTGGTTTCAACAGTGGTTTCGGTGGACGAGGTGGAGGTCGTGGAGGCTTTGGTGGTGATCGAGGAGGTTTCCGAGGTGGAAGTGGAGGCTTTGGTGGCGGCGGCCGAGGCGGCAGCGGGGGTTACGGCGGTGGACGAGGAGGTATCGGATACCAATCGAACGGCTATGGGCCTCCCGATGGTGCTCCCGCTGGTCCTCGTGGTCCCCGAAGCGGCGGTTTCGGTGGCGACCGAGGAAGCGGTGGCTACGGAGGCGATCGTGGTGGTGGACGGTACGACGATAGACGTGGCGGGGGTAATGACCGAGGATCCAGCGGTGCTAACAATGAACCGCTCGGCAGCAGGGATCGATACCGCGACCGTGACGGTGGATATGGTGGAGGCCGAGATGATGGCTCGCGGAAGCGCGCGTACGATGGTGACAGCTACGACGACCCACGAACACGACGAAGGTACTAAGCTCGACTTGCGGCTAAGCCATGTTGTGCAATGGTTTGTCAAAAAGGTTACCTCCCTTTTCTTCGCCCCAGCCTTTTTCGTCAACGAGGGTAAGATCGACTCTGTTCAGCTCTTGACGTTTCGACTCTACAGCACAGCGCACAGTATAGGAGGGTAAGGAGCACGCAACACCAAAAAACACTCCTAGGCACCATTGCATATCTCGAGTTACCTCTACCATACCCGGACTTCTACAACCCAAAATCATTCCTTTCATATTTGCAGCTTTTGAAAGGTACAACGCCATTCCACGAGCAAAGGTATCCCGTCGGATACTCGAGCATGTCAGTTTGCAAGGGAACAACGAACATCTTTTTGACGGGTAGGATAAACAGGTGGTATCTTCCTCCTTTTTTCCCGTTTTCACGCATGTCTTAATAGCTTCATGTTGCGGTTTCCTTGTTTTTTCTTGTTTCTTTATTACAACCTTTCTGCCTTCTTTTTCGCTTGGGGTAGGTTAATGTAAGTGTATTCTGAAACCAAATATGTTTTTCCCCTTAGTCTACAGCATCAAGGTAAGGCCACACAGGTAAGGGAGTTTTTGATAATTCCTGGCTTGGTGATCCTTATCGTATGGTGGTTTTCATGCACCTAAACACAAGCCAACGAAGAATTGATTTTATTCTGATGTTGTTGGTGCTGCTGCTGATGTAAGTTTGAATGACCGTTATTGGTTTGATGTAAAAAAAGTATGTATTATGTATTGTTTGGTGTAAGACGGGCATGGGCATGTCTTCCGTGCTCGTTTTTTCTTCTCTTGATACCAGTGCTTCAGTCATCTCGCATCTCCCAACCTATCTTCCTGTAGAAACAAAGATACTCATCCAAAATCACCTTCTCTTTCTTTCTCCACAATCCCTCTTAATCCACTCTGCCACAACTGTATCTCCTCCTTAGTACCCTGACCAGGCCGTGGTTTACGAAACGTACGCGTCGCCCCTAATCCGCAACTCAGCACCAAAATTCTCCTTTCTCTCTCTCTTTTTCTCTTCCTTTCTTATTTTCTCCGCCCATGCTTTGCAATCAAACTACGAGACTCACCACAGAGCCATATATGCGGCCCGGCTTCTCCATCCTGCAACCCATGCTCATTAATAATACTTTCAATCTGGCGGGCGCGCCCACGATTCGCACTCAGCGTCGTGAGATTCTGGGCCCATCCGTAGAGGAAGATGGATTTGTTGAGGGGACCCAGCTCCGCTGCTACTATGCGTGCGACGGCGGGGAGGGTGTCGGTGAGGGAGTCGAGGTTGGGTGATTTGACGGTTATGGGGAGGGCGAAGCCCTGGGGGACGGCGTGGTCGGATAGACTTGCCTAGAAAATATTCGCTATCAGTTGTGCAAAATTCAACCATGTGGTTGCCACTGGAAATCCTTGTTTTGAAAATAGCAAAGTGATAGAGGGGGCTAGGGGAGAGAGAGGGTGTCAAATGGATTAAAGGGAAATTACTAGTGAAACATACCCATTCCACAACCAAGTCCTGCGAAGATCGCGCTTCCCAGTCTCCCTGTCCTAACAACAGATCTGCTCTCAGCCTCTCTGTATCCGTAGCTAATGTCTGCACGATAAGATTCATCTGGTCGGCCGCTTCGCGCGTGCACACCATAGGATGCGCCTTGATAGCCGGGTAAAGATGCGTAGGAAGTAAATGATCCTCTGCCTCCTCTTCGATTTGCGCGCGCACTTCGCCAGGGTACCAGTCTAGTATCGGACAAGGTTTATGCGAGATGTCTGATATGAGAGCGAGGAGGATGGTGCAATCGATGTTTAGAGTGTTGCTGAGAGCCCGGGAGCGATCGATGAGGAGGTGTGGGAGAACATCGTCAATTGCAGGTGCTGGGGGGATTTCGTCGCCGCACTGTACAATGGCGCCTGTAGCTCGGATTTTGTTGATGACGGAATCGATGGGTGCGGATTGACCAGCGACGACTCTTGTGAGGACGAAGCGGACTTTGGGTGGGCGGCCGCGGATGGGGTTTGCACGGGCTGCTCGCGCGAGTTGACGAGCATTGCGTACAACGTCGACTTGGTCTTCGTCGTCATCTTCGTCGTCAACGCCGATTGAGCGTGCGTCTAGTGTATCCTCGTCTTCATCGGAATCAAAGTCGTTGACCCATCCCAGCTTGGCGAGGTCAAAGAGAATCCGCTTTTCGGAAACGGTCGAGACGCGGATCCACTCGCTGCCTTCTTCAGCAACAATATCAACAAGCGCAGCGTTTTTGTTCTTAGCTTGGCTTCCCTTGGATAGGCTCAGACCTTTTGTCGTGTGCTTGCCTGCTGGTGCGGTGTGTCGGTGCCAGAAGAAGTACTTTCTAAAGCTCTGGAGTCCACGTGAGCGCTTTGCTGCGCTCCATAGTGCTTCATAGTAGAGGAGATTCGATGAAACGATGTAGTGTCTAGCTTTCTCCTCGTCCATATCGGAGCCCACTAACTTTTTGAGAAAGGCTAGTTCGTTGCGCATGTCATTGCGCAGATTACGATACCTGGTCAAGTTAGCCGTATGTAAAGACTTGGGAGAGTAATATGCAAGGTAGATGACAGGGAGTTGATCGATAAAACAAAGTATATAAGGCTCGTTCAATATGACTTACTCTACTGGATTGTGAATTTTGCCAACTTTTTGTTTCTCGAGAACCGCCGCCACATATGTCTCCACTTCATCATGCAAGCGCTTTCCGCGTTCTACCAGACCCTGAATAGTAGCTTCCAGTTCGTCTCGTGGAGTGGGCATTTTGTCTGGAGTATGGTCATCTCGAAGATCCAGACTGCCAATTTCTCTGGCAATATTTTCCGCCATGATGCCAGAATCCAGAAGGAGTAGTCCGAGTGCCAAAGATGGTGTTACAAATGAGTAGCGAACTGTCGAACGGTGGATAAAATTTCCGAGACATCTATCGTAGTGCAAAGCAGGTTAAGGATATTTAATAATAGGAGATGTTTATCTTGTTGCCAGCGATTTTGAGAGATGAGTCTCTCCAGCGTGAGTTCAATGTTAGCTGTAGCATGGAAAATTGTATACCAGATGTTAATCGTGCTAAAGCCATGGAAAATGGGACCCAAGCGTGGTATAGAAGATTCGATGAGGCTCGATGTCGACAATCGCGGCTACCTGAATATGTGCTAGTACAAATAAATCTTAAGCTATTCGAACAGTCATGTCATAGTTGCCTCGATGCGCCCTGTTCTGCCACAATCAATAGTCGTCTGCGCCCTTCATAAGTCGGAGGCTGCGAGTCCAGACCGACGTTCGCCCGAGCGCAACCCCACCAAAAGTTGCCCGCATACCGAAGCTGGCCTAACCGTCTTCCACCTTGCAATTGCTCCAGCCAACCTGCAACAGTCACTATGCCGTACTTTGCTACAAGTGCCGAGTGGTACGAGCAGTCGTCGCTACTGCTAAAAGCTCGCCCAACAACTGTACGAGAAGCTATGCGCAAAGCACGCGATACGCCCTTCTAATCGAGTTCCTAGACACGCATCACCTCCAAATACTCTGTCCACAAGCCCACAGCTGCCAAGATCAAGAAGCGACAAAAATATGAGGAGAAGAAAGCATCGCGGCCAGTAGACAAGGCGCGGGACTCATCACCACAACCACAATCGCAAGACGTGGAAGAAGTAACGGCCACCTTTACGCTGAAAACATACGACCCAGAGTCTGGAACATGTCTGCAATATGAGACCAACAAGGGCGCCGAGGTTGGAAGGCTGATTGGAAACCTAGGAAGGTTAGGGAGGCATATGGCAGCGCTACCGGAGACTACAGAAGATTTGAGCATGCCAGCGGGCGGTGAGGGCGCGGCAACACCGCAGGTTGACGAGGGCGGCGACGTCAAAATGGGTGGCACAGCACCAGATGCAAAGGCCAGTGCAGGAACAGGAGGAAAGAAGAAGAAAAAGGGCAAGAAATGAATATTATGCGTTGAGAAGCATTCAAAACCACACTATACCAGCTTGGCGTCAAGACTTGAAGACGCCGCGAATTCGATGTATGAAGACCGCACATTGCAGGAAACCTGAAAAATGGGCAGTTACGGTACTGGCACTTGTATATCAGAGACGACGCGAGTAGCGTATGACTACAGAATCGAAGATACCCGTCCCCACACATGACTCTATCTTTTCTCTTTCCAATATCTTGATACCAAGAAGGAATATATCATCAGGGAGAAAAATTGCCTCATCCATCCTATTTTCACATCCTAAACATATTTTAGACTTTATTCGCAGGTTAAGTCGTTGGTATACTGGGTGTAGCTTTACAGGGCCAACAACACAAGGCTCATCCGCATATTACAAGCGAACCTTCGCAAAAGTCTGGAACTCCCCCGCCGATTACCAACAAAGGACGCGCAACACTCGATAATTCGTTGATTGCAAAGCGCGTCCAAAAACATCAGGGGGCTCACTCTGGTATGCCTGTTGATTGGCCAAGAGCATGGGCCTAGAATCCATCCATGAAATCACCTCGTATGGAAGCGTTCTTGTTTCGCATATTCCAGCTGCTGTGGCTGAAGGATCGCTCATCCGGTGAACCTGTTGCCTTTGAGGCAACGGAAGAGACTGCGGGGTAGGAAGGGTGTTGGTGGGGAGAATCCTCCCGTGTCTCAGACATGTGTTGTGCGCCACCGACGGTAATTTGGATGTCAGGGATCCTTTGGCATGCATGCATTAGACACTTGGAGCTAATCAAGGAGGGTGATTATTTTTGTCAGAATTAATAGCAGGTGTTTGAGTGTGTACAGTGCGTTAACACATACAAGAGCATTACGATTCAAGAGCGTAACTACGAACTGACGACGTCTTGAATTGACAAACTATAATGTTGACTTTCCTATCGAAAATGCCGAGACATGAGAACATGGGCTGGCCTTTTTTATTGCGTACTTATCAGACCACAGCAGGGACAGTGCGATCGTTGCATGCATCCCACTGCCTACGTCCGGTGGGCAGGCAGTGATCACGTACATGGCTTTTGTCGTATACGACGCGTCTGTTTCCAATGATTCCTCAGTAATTCTACTGTTCCCGTTCCCGTTTTCGAGCAAATTGTTGATGTTGCAACCGAACGACAGATGAGGCTGAATGTTAGAAACGTCAGACGAGTGGCGTGCATGTTGCATGCATTGTGCATCCGGTCAATCTCGTATATTTGATGTCACCCGCAGGCATCCGGTAATTGGGATCAGGCAAAGTTTATTTTAAGGGCAAAGGGCAAAATCATGTGCATGGAGGGGCATCGTTGCCCAGTCGGCAAACAGATGCAGCGCCAGGCTGCATGAGTGGAGTTTTACATACTGCGAACTCATGGCAACCATCGGCTCTGCAGGAGATGTGCTAACAGATAGTTGGTCTTCTCGACCACCTAGCACTTATCGATTACTCTCTTGTTTGTGGATTCTTTAGTATCTATCTATGGGTAGGAATTCTTATACTAACTCAATTAGATATTGAAGTAGATTTAAGAAAAAGTAAATTCAATTGGTCTTCATTATCCCAACAACCGGAAAAATGCTGGTTATCAGTAGAACGATCTGAATAGTGAACGTACTCTTCTTCAAAACATGGATGGATACAAATGGGAAGTTCGAGACTTGATCGATCCATGGGCGAATTGCTGTAAAGCTACGAGGCCTGCAGGTGCTATTGTTACGAGGGGTAGTTGCCTCGGGGTACGCCGTGAATAAAATACATGATATTATTTTGTGTCTACCTTAGTAAACGCTTGGTTAATAAGAACGTCTTTATATAAAAGTACTTGTTATAAGTACAAAGTATAAGCTTTTGTATAGTATCTTTTCTCTTCTATAGCTTAGGTTAATATAAATTCGTTTAAAGGCCTCTTCGCCATAGTAAATAGAACTATATAACGGTTAAGCTAATCAGCTGTCATTTTAGTGGCTTGTGATGATTAGTTGCCTTCTTTCAAAGCGTAACGATGATGTGATAACCGCGCATGGACCAGCTTCTGACCACGGCGCGCAATTAGTGTCTCCACTCGCCTTGTCCTTCTTTAAACGTTCACTTCTATTACATCGTTTCTAATCTTATGCAAATGCTTGTAATTAGGCTATGATAAAAAACAGCACTAAAAAGCGAACGATTCTATCGAGTCGTCACAATAAAGTCGCTTACACATCTGGAGGACTCAAGTGATGATCTTGGACGCAGCCTGATGACAAGTTCATCACTTGAGTCCTCCAGATGTGTGGCGCGCTGCGTGTACATATGCGCGTTGGAAGGACCTTTGGCCTTCCGGTAAATCCTCAGCCTCAAAAACACGTAACTGGCTAGCTGTAGGTTGTGTCGGATAAGAAGGCAAAAGGCGATTTGCCTGTCTACCCCTCAGCATTGTGGCTTCGACCGGTCAGCGCCCCGATACCAACGGATAAGCGGGGTTCGTGAGAACCATTCGTATTGACCAATTGGCACATATTTCATCTGCATTTCTAGAAGTGGATTGGATACGATGGTCACAGTCCGAAAAGGGCCCTTATCTCCGTCTGCATCAGTATGTTTACACCACTCCTGTAGCAAAAGTGAGGCTCTGCAAAAACTGCCAATGTCAAGTTGATTCTGATTTCTATATCTTCCATCGATTTTCTCCTAATAACTATCTAGTTCATCATCTCATGTTTCTTTAGACGATAAGCCTTCTGTTAACACAAACATCGAAGCTTTGTTAAATCATTTCCTGTTAACTGGCATTGCTCTCTCTTTCGGCCATCTCACCCCTCTTAATCATGGCCCATCAAATGTCTGTACCACAGCAAACCCAACACTCGGGTCCGATGCCTCAAAATCATCAAAACGCTGGGCAACAGCGGCATGCCTTGGGCGGACAATATCAGAGCTTTGGGCAAACCTCTCCAAGAGAGTCTGAAGATTTTCCCCTAGATTCCATCCAAGCCCCCCTTCTCGTATCATTCATCCTAGAGAGGCCCAGGAGCGATATCAGCTGGGAAGATGTTGTTCCCGAGCAACAGCATGTCAGAGCCCATGACCTCAAAAAGGAGGTACTGAAGTTTCGACGTAACTACAACAACGTCAAAAAGGCTCTGGACGAAATCTCCTCTCCAAACTGTCGCAGGATTATCAATGAACTGGTCGAAGAACAGAATGTTGCGCTGACCAAGCACAACCCGACCATGGAGTACAGGATCGTGAGTCTTATAAAGAAGTTCCGAGAACGCGTCTCTTTGACGCGCCGCGAGAGATACCTGGCACGTGTGGACATAATCTTAGAAGCAGAAGACTCTGGCCTCCAAGGTACAAAGATGGGAGTTGGGATGACTGGCCATAAACCTCAAGATCTCAACAGGGCCAAGCAGGGCGACGGTCTTCCACAGTTCCAAGGCCGAGTTAGCAATCAAAGCCAGAATATGCAAATACCTCAGCAGCGACCTCAACCTCATGGCCCGCACAATGTGCCACCTCCTCCACACCTTGAGCTACCGCGTGGTCAGCCTCCTCCTCTTCATATTGTTAATCAAGGCAACAATCATATCCCGATGCCCGCTCCCCATACACCGCCTCCACTTCCACCTCAACCACATCTAAGTGGAGGTATAAACGGGAAAACTCCAGTAGCTGGCCTACCTGCGCCACCGCCGCCGCCGCCACCACCTCCACCACCACCTAATGGAGGAGCTCATCCAGTAATGTCAGGACCTCGCGGGCACCAACCACCAATTCAACCATCCTTACCGCAGGGTCCATCAGGAATGCCCGGCAGTTTCCCTGAAGCTATGCCATTGCCAGTGCCAAGGCACGTGCCAGGTCGTAGGCCAGGCCCGGTCAACCAGACAATAGGCCCTGAGCCGCCTAGGAGCCAGCCAACCAAGCACAGGAGCCACATGGATGCATCCAGTTTATATTCAGAGAGTGAAGTCAGTTCGGAAGATGAGTCGGAGGGTTCTAGCTTCGTTGACATTGAGAGCGACATGCATGGGGAAATGCGTCCGCGCGAACCTGAACGCGGACGACATGCTAAGGTGTCAAGGACCAGTCTGAAACATCGTATGCATAGTAGAAGCAGGCAGCAGAGTCGAAGTCGCAGCCGCAGTCACCTACGAAGAGGCATCCGCCAGCAAAATGCACAGCGACCAATGTGGAGACATCGAACCAATAGTGATATCGACGAAGGATACACTGGCAGACGTACCCCAGACATATCAGGTTCGAGTTCTCCTCAACCCTTGCGTGCGAAGCTCTCTAGTCAAGTGCCAGCGAACATTCACATCCACATGAACACGAATAATAGTGGAGATGAGAGAACACGCAGCGGTAATGCCTCGCCCACCAGTCTCTACAGTGAAAAGAGAATGCCAGGGAAAATGTACAATTCACACGACGATATGTCCGATGCATCTTGGGATCGCGCAAGCGGCACTGGTTCCTGGCACACCTCGTCTGCCCACACGGCCGAAGATAATATCTGGGACGTACCTTCTCGCCCCCCGACCGTGAAGCGTGAGCACAGTCAACGCAAGCCGACTTTTGCAGCGCGCCCAAACGACGCCTTTGATCCTCAGCGTCGAAGCCCCAACCCCAACACTGCTGATCTGCGGTCCACACAAAGACCCAGATACCCCAGGGAACCAAGCAACGAGCACATTCCCACTCGCTCATCCATGCGGGACCGGGACCGGGACCGGGACCACAACCGCGAACATGCATCTCCTTACTCTGACAATCAACACCCCTACCATCCCCGTCCCGATCTTCCGCACCGCCGCATCACTCCAGCCTTGCCTCGCACCCAGTATTCCAACCCATTTGCCTCACCATACCCCCCTCCCCCTCCTAAACCCGTCCGCGCCCCCTCTTTCACACCAGATGTATATGATCGCGCGTACACGCCATCCCAGCCGCGTAGGAGACTGACAGAAGCTGCACCGCGTGATGAGCAAATCAATCTGAGTGACTTGCGCGATGCGCTGGATTGGGCACGCGAGAGGAACAAGGAGAAGGAAGGTATGCAGTCGACGAGGTATGGAGATGATGTGTCTGGGATGAGGAGGAGAAGGGATTCTACCATGGATTATGATGATGAGTGGGATTTTGATCGAAGGGGTGGTGTTGGGTACTAATTCTACGGCCTTTTTTGTTTTTCTTTCCTACTTCTTTTTTTTTTCTTTCCTTTGGGTGGGCGTATGGGCTGCGGTGTTTCCTTTCGGGAGTTATGGTTATTTTGAGTCTCTCTCTTTTGTTCTTTGTTTTCCTTCTACGACCGAAAAAACAGAAAAAAAAATAACGAAGACAACAAAGTATTGACTAACTGTGTTTCAATCAGCCTCGCTTATGTATACACCTACATAAGGCTTTCTATCTCCTACAGTAGTACATGGCTTCACCTCCAACGCAGAGCAATGCAATGCAAACCTTTTTTTTGATGAAATAGATTTGCAATAATGACCAAAGGCCCTTGAACAATAGAGTTACTCCTTCAAAAAAGATAGGTCCCTATCTTGATCCCTTTTTTCGTCCTTTTGTTGCTCTACTCATATACCCTCCTTCAGACCTATATCCACACATCACCGCTAGTTCCAACCCAAACAGCTCTTACTCGTTAACACACACTCGTTCATATGTATACACACATACACAACCAGCATTGCAACTACAAAAGGGTAGATAAAACGAGAAGATGGCACAAGAAGGGACCTCACATCACATCACAGCAAACGAACCAAAAAAAAGGCAAGCCAATCAATCTTCAACTCATTATCCAATTAAGTATCAAGAATGGGGCTCAGCGAGCCACAGCTCTCTCTCTCTCTTCCCATTTCCCATTTCCTCTGATCTTGATCTTTAAGTGTTTTCCTGTAATCTTTCTAGCTATACTCATTAAAAAAACGTGATGATTTCAAGATTTTTATAGTTTTGAAAAAAAAACCTAATCAAGATATCACCCATTGGGCAAACCGCAAGATTATGTTTATGTGTGTAAAATGCAAGAAAGAAAAAAGAGGTCGTTAGATGTTTAAAATGAAGAAGAAGAAGAAGTGAAAAAAAAGAAGAACAATCATTGGTCACAAGCGAGGGTATTGAATCTTAAATATCTATCATACACGCACACGTCAAGGTGTAAAAGAACCAAGCACGCGGGGGGAGGAAAAAGAAGAGGGCAAAGGGAGAAGAAGGCGGAAGAGGAGGATATCGAGGTTACAACGCCAAGATCATGTCCAGCAAATGATGCGTTAAAAGGTCGCAGAAATTAGGACGGAGGAATAAAGCCGTGGTTGATTGATGCTGACCATGATGATAATTGCAACCGTCAAGGTTATTTGTGAAGGCTGGGTCTAAGGCGTAAAAGTGAAGGTGGGTCGACACTTGTGTTGCGTGTGATGCTGACGAGGCAGCAAGGCGCAGGGCCTCCCACTTTACACGCACACACTTTGCCCCCACAAAGATTGCGCAATTCAGCCGTAACCTCGTACCAATTATTGCTTAGCGCGCAGTCTATCGTAGTGTTGATTGCACGTCATGAACTGTCCTCTCAAGCACGTCCTCCAGCCTCCACCTTGGTGGCTTGGGAATCTTCTCCTTGCCGTCTGTTGAGCTCTTCTCAGCAAGCTCCTCAGGGTAGGCACCACCGGCAACACCTGAGCTGAACTTCAACTGCAAAAGGTCGCCGACTTGATCGCAAGCCGTAAGCATGCGGTCCAGATCGTCCTTGGTATGCGCAGCGCTAACGCAGAAGCGGGCTCGTGATGACACGAGAGGTGTGGCAGGGTAGCCGACTACTACGACGGAAATCTTGCGCTTGAGCATCTCGTGGGAGAATGCAGGCATCTTGGCGGGGTTGTAAAGCATGACGGGGATGATGGGTGAGTCGTCGTGACCGTAGACGATGAAGCCGAGGCGCTTGAGACCCAAGCGCAGATAACGAGAGTTGAAGCACAAGCGCTGCAGACGCTCTTCACCTTGTCCGGGTACAATTGAACCGTCAATGATACGGAGAGCAGAGGCAATCTGGACGAGAACTGGCGGCGAAGGTGATTCGGCAAAGAGCATAGCTGCGTTGCTGATTCGGAGCTTGTCGATGATGGACTTCTCAGCGGCAATGTAACCACCGTTGGCGCCGAAAGACTTTGTGAGCGTGCCCATGAGGATATCAACTTCGGAGGGATCAATGTCGAAGTAGTCGCATACACCACGTCCACGAGGGCCAACACCACCAACAGAGTGAGCCTCGTCAACAAAGAGATTGAACTTGTACTTGTGCTTCAAGCTGATGATGCCGGGGAGATTGCACATGGTACCCTCCATGGAGTAGAGGCCTTCAACAGCAACCAGAATCTTCTTCCATGGGCGGTGTGTGCGGGGCTGACCTTGCGAAATGGCTTCACGGAGCTTGCGTTCAAGATCGCGCATGTCATTGTGCTTAAACATGGTGACCATGGCTCCTGAGAGACGCGCTCCAAATCGGATAGAAGAGTGATTAAGCTCGTCAGAGATCATTAGGCAGCCCTTTCCGACAATGGTGGGGAATGTAGTAGCGTTCGTAACAAAACCCATGGAAAAGACCATTGAAGCGGGCTTGCCGACAAACTTGGCAATGAGATCCTCAACCTCGACCGTAAGCTCAGAAGTACCACTGTCGGACCGAGGGCTAGCCATTGAGATTCCGTACTTCCTGATGGCTGCCTCGGCTGCATCAGCACAAGGACCTTCTGATTGAGCGAAACCAAGGTAGTTGTATGAACTCATGTTTAATGTCTCAGTTGTGGTTCCGAGCATCTTGAAGGTGTTGTTTCCGTCGTCAGACTTGCGGTCGAGCACAGTGATGAATCGTCCTGGGACACCGGTAGTTGGTCGTGAAAAGCAGTCGTTGATGCGCATCTTCAACCGTCTTGTGTAGAAGTTGTCGAAGTCGCTGTTGAGGGGCGCATATCCGTCCTTCTCCTGCAAGTGGCTGTAGTGCTGCTTCCTGAAGCGTTTACCGAAGAAGTCACGGACGTGTCCAAATACTATTAGGATTAAGTAGCTGATGTATGTAGTAAGAAGGAAATAATATGGTGGCTCGTCTTCGATGGGGTCGCCGAACTCGCCCTCAAATTTACTGTGGTAGCGGTGCTTCTGTGATCCGAGGGGACCAAATTGAGCGTGGGCTCGCGCAATGCGACGCTGCTCTTCCGGCGAAGGTGGTTGGAAAAGGGTTTTTGCTTCCGTAGGCATCTTCTCACCGGTAGCAGTGGTGAGGTTGATGGTGGGGAGGGAAATCTGCGAGGGCGAGGGCGAGTTGAGGAGGGCCTGCTGCTGGGCGATGAAAGCTTCCCGGAGGACAGCGGCTTCGGAGCGCGACTTGGGAGAGTTGCCGCCGAAGAGGGATGTGAACTTGTTGCCCTTTGCAAAGGAGGATCGGCGTGCAGGCTCACGCTTCTCGTTGTGAGGATCGAGGGGAGTAGGGGTAGTCGACGCAAACGGATTAATGCTTCGCGCAGGCATGGCAGCAATGGCTCGAGTAACACGCTGTTGGGCTGATTGAAGCTACAAAAAGACTGGATGAGTTGTCCAGGTGCTCGGGTCTGGTCCCAGGCTGCGGAGTCGCAACGAGGATGTTGGCGGTGAAGGGTGGGAGAGACTAGGCGAGCTACAATTAGTAGGCAACTCCTGAGCAAAAAAAAAAATGGCGTTTGCGTGCGGGGAATCAGTGAGCAGGAGCAATCAGGTGCAACTACCGGCAAAAAAAAACAAGGTGAGAAGGGTGAGGGTTGTGTTTCATGGGGGGGAGAAAAGAGGGACTGATGCGGTCATACATTGGCGGGTGGGAAGGGCGGCAGTGCCGGATAGCGTCGACCAAGGTGGCTTGTTCGAGGCTTGAGAAGAGATGTGCACCTACGTTATGCGAACCGCACAGCAGGCAGAATGGTATACGTCAGACGGGCGTTGCCGTGAGTGCTTGTTTTGCAACGCTCTTGGAGGGATGGCAAGCGGCGGGCGTGGTGGTGGTGGAGCAAGCAGTGTGTTGGCGCAGGCACAGGCAGCTTTCCCTGCAGAATGTGCGCACAAGCAAACAAGCAAGACACTCGAGGGCCCCGGGATTCAGCGGCGAGGTGTAATGAACGACAAAATGTAGGGTGTAGGAGAAGAAAGTCACCATGCACACGGGCAGAGACAACAACAGCTGCAAGCTCACTTATCAGTGCCGTTAGCAAGGGGCACCGGAGCTTGTGGTTGGTCCGACGAAATGAGCAGAGCCCCTAGGCGGGCCCTCCAGTCAGCCTCAGGTCAGGGGAATCGGATGGTGATCGCTGCCGCCTCGCCACAGCACCTTGTCCGTCCCAGGTCCGCTCCTCGTGCGAGCCCAAAGGGGACGGCAAAGAAAAATACATCCCTCTCTGGCATTGCAACACAGCGTGGTCCAGCCCTGCATCCAGAGAGGCCAGAGCGCCGTCCATGTGCCGCGCCCTTGCGATGCCCACTGTTTCCCTTGCACGTCACCGTCATTAACACCATCACCGTCACTGCGGCCAAATTCGCGTTTCTTCGCAACATGGATGTGCTTGACATCACGACTGAATCATCTCCGTCGACAGAGCCATTGATTGATTATGTGAGGGTCCATGAGCCAGGCATGCTTGGCACAATAAGCCAGGATATAGGTCACACCACTTTCCATTGGGCAAAAGGCGGCGATCCTATGGGCTTGCCTTGCCATCCGCAGCTAGATTTGCCATGTTCGGTACCAATAAGTTTGTTGCTCCAAAACTATGGTTCACATCCCGCCCGCAGCTCATACATTCAGACTCGTCTTGCGCTACACAAAAGCCCATTTTACGCCTGGCCATGTGGGTTGTGACTCGAGTCGAACTGATTGGCCATCAGACGTTCGTAATCTGACAACGTTTGCTCGGGTGACGTTCAACGGGTTGACCCGTTGCGCCTTCATTTTGCGCTGTCAAATGGGAGTCTGTACTAGGTCATAGTGCGACCATCCTTTCGCGAGATTACGATGAACTCAAATCTCAATAGCCCTGGGCACCGAAACATTTGTCCATCTTAATTTCACTTCTCTATAACACTGCATGCTTCTCCCCGCAATACCTTCAACAAACATATTTCCCTTTCTTCCTCTCCCATGCACATACATGTCACTCAATCGCTCTCACATGCCAAGGACATCCATACTGACTTGAAATGATGATACGATATTTATCACTGATTCTGCTGCAGCTAAAAGAAAGCACTACAGCGTCCGAGACCCCATCTAGACCAACCACCAAAGCCCGCGCAGCGGCTTTTACTTTCCTCCACATGAACCACCTACGACAACACTGCTTCTCAAGAAGTAGAAAAAAAAAGAATAGCATGTTCCTCCACCTGGCAGGAAACGCCAACCCTCTTGGAGATACACAACAAAAGAAAAAAAAAGAGAAAAAAAAGAAGAAGGCTAGCTCGCAACACCAAAGAGAACGATGCTTGAAGAAAGATGGAAAGAGAAAGGAGAACAAAGACGACCTGCTTGATGTTGCCGACGTCTATTCAAACACCAGCATATTCACCAAACCGCCCCCTCTGTATACAGGCCCCTTGCCATCCAAGAAGCCCTTTGCAACGCCGTATCAATAACCAAACCCCGTGTGGTGGTCGTCCAATTTGCATTACAATAAGATGACTAGTGAAGAGTGCAACGCACGCGTCTGGCAAGCAACAACAACAACACCACCATATGCGGAAGATGCGACACATTAACTACAGGCGCGACAACAAGGTAAGCTCAGGCGCATAAAATGGAACCCACGACTGTTTCAAGTCGAGGGCCCCACATGGCACGGGAGCTTTGCTCATCGAAAACAACGACGACCGGGTATATGAGCAAGCAAAAATTAAATTGACAAACGCGCCTTGACGACCGAGCCGCTTCCCTTACATCTGATGATGCTCGGGTGACAGGCTTGATGGGTCAATGGTGCCGAAAGACACCAAATTTTGCATGTCCAGGTCCTCGTGGTTTTCGTCAAGCAGCGGTGACCGGAAGGGCATGTTGAGGCTTTGCTTAGCGTACATGTCCGTCATTTGCAGCGCCTCGTCCGACATGCCATTGTCGTGCGACATGGGGTACACATCGCCGTGGTTCTCGCGGCCGTAGGAACCAAGTGGGGGTGATTGGTTGGCAATGATCGGGTCAGGATGGCTCATGGCTGGCATTGGCGAGTGACCCGATGCAGAGTGAGGAGGTGGCCCCATTGGGGTGTGTACATATGGAGGGATGTTATACGATCCGTAATTGGATGCAGGGGCGCTGTCGTTTGGCGGGCCTGACGAGTAGAAGGCAGGAGTGCCATATTCCGACGGTGAGTTTGCTGTTGTGGCTGACATGGGATATTGTCTGAAGTCCATGCCGTAACCAGCAGACGTGTCGATGCTCAGATGAGGACCGATGGGACCAGCACTCTGTGGTGTTGGTGCAAAAATTTCAGGGCTAGGCATGTAAGGCGATGGCTCTTGCTGGATCATGAATGATGGCATAGGGTTGCGAAGCATGGAAAAGTCCATAGCGACAGGCACTGAGCGACTGCGCTGGCGCTTGTGACCACGCGGCTGGAAAGGTGGAGGCGCAAGATGCGACTCTTGAAACACACCCATGTGCGGGTGCACAAGGTGGTTTGGTTGGGAAGCAGGGCGGTGGTTGATTGGCGACACTGGTGCCGAGACGGCAAAATTGTTGGCGTCATACATGTTGTGTCGGTTCTGAAACGATTCCAGTGAGATGAGTTTCGCCAACTGGCCACTCAAAACCTTTGGGTGACCGCCCAGGTGATGGACCAGAATGTTTGATGCCTGCTGGTCCTCGGTAAAGTCGCCGCATTGGAAGAAACCACCGGAACCAGACGAGTCCATGAAAAAGTTTGGAGGGCGATTGAGTTCGACAATCAAGCCTCCGGGGCGTTGTGACGCGCCTTCAGCGTTGGCGGTCATGTCGCCGTTCTCGAGTTGAATGTTCTTGATGTACGAGAAGGGGTACTCAATCTTGTAGCCGGCTGAGTCGTTGTTGATGTAGTAGGTGATGCAGCACTTCTCTGGTGAGTAAAAAACAACCAGGTCCATGGCGCTTTGGCCGACTCTCCTCCAGCTTCCAATGCTCAGCGAGCGGCAAGCAAAGTGGTGGATGACAACCTTGGAGTTGTTGGCGTCGGTGTTGAGGAGCATAGCGCCACCATATGGCATGCCGCCAGTCCGGCCAAGAAAGTTTGTTCCAATTGATTTGCCGGACTCCATGGCCTGAAGAGCGAGATATCTTCGCATGGACTCTGGAATGTCGTTGCAGTCGTCACCATTCTCAATGCTCTTCTTGGCAATGTTCTTGATCTTGGCACGTCTATGTTAAAGTTAGTGTTGGGCTCTCGCAACAAGCGGTTTTGCGCCTACCTGTTCTGGAACCAGATCTGTACTGAGCGCTCAGTCATGTTGATTTCTGTAGCTATCCTTTCGCGAGTAGCAGCTGTGGGAGTAGGGTTCTTGTTGAATTCGACTTCAAGCGTGACGAGTTGGTCTTGGGTGGCGCGCTGTCGCTTTTGGTTTCTTTGTTGCTGAGTGAGGGTGCTCTTGCGGGGTGGTCGGCGGGGGGCAGACCCCTGAGTCGGGGTTGAGGACTGTGCTGGGGGGGAGGGTGTGGGGGACACCATGGCGTCGTCGTGTGACTGCATATCTGCGGGGGAGCAGGAGCAAGACTTGGGTTGTGTGTGGGTTGGGATGGAGTGGGAGATGTAGAGGGAGCAATCGAGCCGGCACCTCCTGTCTATCAATGTTCGTAAAGTGTCGTGATGAAGTGATGGTCCAAACAGCGTTGGGAGTGAAGATAGTTGAGACGAGAAGGTTGCGAGTCCAAGGCGCACAGGAGCAGGCTGCTGTGGGTGTTTGAGACTCGAGACACGGTCCAGGCGCGTGTGTGTATGTATGTACGTGTGATGAATGGAGCTGCTGGCCGGGGAGCAGATGGCTGACAATCGTCCAAAAGCGATTTCTGTGTCGACAGGGAGATGAAGTGGGCGCGAGGGCGAAAGAGCGGACAGGCAAAGGCCAAAGGAGGCGTGTGTAGAAAGGAACGTGGGCAAAGGCCGAAAGGAGCGGCGGCACTTCGCAGAAGTCGACGAGAAAAGGGAACGTAGTAGCAACCACACCGACAACGGGGTGACGATGGGGAATCCGGATGTAGGAGCTGGGCCTGTGGTGTAAATGAGCGACCGTGGGTGGTGGGAAAGGGGAGATTAAGGGAAGGGGCGTGAGGCCGGGGGTAAGGTGCGCGCCGGCTAGCGTGGTCTGGGCAGGGCGCTACAAGGGCCAGGGTGCCGCCCACAGACTGTTTTAGCCCAACGGCACCACGACGTGACGCCAGGCGCGAGACCGGTGGTGACGCACCAGAATGCTTCTGTCTGTGTGGCCCTGGCAGCAGAACCATGTCCGCCCAAGCCCTGAACCCAAACCGCCCGCCTGCCCGCCTGCCCGCCGCCCGCAACGGCCGACACAGGCACACGCATGCGTGCGTCGCGGTGCATGCTGCATCCTGCCTGCATCCACTCGTCCACGCCCAGCCGAGGCCAGACACAGGCACAGGCACAGGCACAGGCACCGGCACAGGCACAGGCACAGCGATCGGAGCCTCTCAGGGCCACTCAGCCCAGCGGCCGGGGGCCACGACAGCCGACCGTCCACGGCTCAGGAGACGGCGGGCCTGCGATAGGCCAGTCCTTGCCACGGCCCTCGCCGAGCCACGACCGCCATCGCCAGAGTTGTCTCAACGGGCCAGGGCCGCTCCAAGCTGCCACGACGCTGCTCTGGGGCGCGCGTCAGGCACATGTCCTCCCAAACAGCCTGCGCCCGCCGTCCAGGTGCTGCCACCAGGCTCCACCTGCCACCTCGCCGCTGTCCTCGACTGCTGGCCCTCGGTCGACTGCTCCGTCGGCCATCGCTCACCGCGCGGCGGCCGCGGGACGCACGACAGAGCGCACGGTGGCCCCAGTTAGGTTTGGCCTCTGCCGTCGATGCAAGCATACAAGGCGCCCGCCCAAAGCCTGCCCGGCCGGCCTGGTGGCATGCCTCCACGACCTCGCTCTTCTCAAATCGTCGGTCACAACTCCCCTTCTGGCTTCGTCGACTCCGACTCGGGAGCCCTCGTCGCAGATCACTCGCCTGCGTCCCCCAAAGGACGAGAGGATCCCGACGACGGCGGGCGGCAGCGTCGTCTGAGCGCCTCCATCCTGACACACCCGGCCCAAGCCCTATGGAACGGACGTGATTCAGACCTGACAAAGTCATATATTTTAGCTGATATCCGACGCGCCGACGCAGTAGGCTCACCCATCATCTCGTCGCCCTACAGCTGTCAATCTATGGTGCCTACTGCTTCCCTGCACCCTGGATCCGTAGTCTTGCGCCAGGCGTGGCGGTGTGCGTATTGGACTGCATCAAACGAGAGAGCAAGCGAAGGCAACCACCAACCTGGAACCTGACTCTCGACTTGCAAGAGATTCCGTTGCGTCTGCGCTTGGGACAGGATCGACAGAAGCGCTCACGTTCCGAAGCCTCAACTCCACCTGGCTTGTGGGCGGGCATCGGCAACTCTCGAGTTTTTGTTCACCACTCCGCCTTGCAGCCTGCCATGTGTTACAGAATGTTGCAAATCGTACGAGCGCATGAAAAACAAGCCAAAACAGCCCCAGATCACTGCCACCAGCAGCGAATAGACCAAAGATTTGTTTCAACGCTATGCCACCATGGAACAGGACACGGCATAGCGCAGACGTGACAACTTACTCGAGTCCTAGTCTGGGGTGCGCCTGCCGCGTTCGCCAGACAATGAGTCGATATCGCATGGACACGGCGCACGCTCTCCTGTTGTCGTCCAGGTACAACCGGCCCTGACGTAACAGGCTTCTAGAAGCCTATTTAGGCAGGTTTCATCTTCAAGTGAGCGCTTCTGGAATCATCATCAAAGTATACTTGTGAGCCGTCTAATTTCAGCGTGCCCTAAACACTGGGCTCCGCTGTCTAACGAGTTTGCTGGTTCGTCTCGGGTAAGCGAAAAGTGAATGCCTGCGATTGTCATCCCTCATGAGGCATACTGCAGCTCCACACCAATCGATCGGAATATCTGCTCTCTTTTCTTGAGGTCCAGGCTTGCGCCAAGGGTAAAGAGTAGCTCTTTAATCTTCCCCTCCCACAGCACCCCTACACGCCAATCCTGATCAACCTTGGCCTTTAATACCCCAGAAACCTCATCCGTGGGTGAGTCTGTCGGGCGTTTCCAGTCTGTGCGTAGCTTCTTCACAGCCCAGTCAATATCAGTCGTATTACGTAGGCGCCATAGTTCGCAACCAAGTTGTAGCTCGCTTTCGTAAGAGTAGAAATTGAAGTCGAACCGGGAGCAGAGAGCGAGGTTCGGCCCGGCCTTGACAGCGTAGGTGGAAGAAATATTTCCCATCAATGGGTTTAGCGTCAGCGTCATAGTGTACGGAAATCCCGAATGGTTGGGTAGGGTGGCGAATCGCAATCCCGTACTTATGCCGCCGCTCTTATTGAGAATACCATAGTACAGCTCTGCGCCTGCACTGAATCGGCCATAAGCGGGTTCCGTGTGCCCCCCGACCACAGGTTCCATCGGCGAGACTCTGGGGTCGGAACCGAAGTTGTATAAGCCGCGAACGCCCATCAGAGCAGAGTCTGTGCTGTACATGTACTCTGTGCTATATTTGCCGAAGTCGTTTTGCAGAAGGGTAAGGATTGTGCCGCCATTGTTAAGGTTGGAGTCGCTCACAGCAGCAATCCTAAGCTGGCGGGTCGGGGTAAGACGTCGCAGATAGAGTGCTTCGAGCCGGGACTGGGGGAGGAATATGCGCCCGTACAACAGGGTATCTGTTCATACCTTAGTCGTGCTGCGGGTTGGATAAAGTCAAAATGCTTACCTCTCCGGTCTATCCGTTGGCCAGCATGCCAGACTTCCCACCACCACTGCTCGTCCGGTCGTCTCAGCTCCTTGGTGTGCTTATAACCTCGTACGACACTGTGCAGATCAATGTGTGATGTCTTGAACTCCTTGCGCAGCGGCAACGACGAGTAGAGGTAGGAGACTGAGCCATCGACGACACCCACACTGCCCAAAGTGTATGATGTGGCAAAATTCGGGGCAGCGAGAGAGGATATCTGCATGCGCAGCCCTCTGGGTATGTCGAAGTCGAGCAATGCTACAATGTGCCATCAGCATGCAGCCTGGCAAAGCGACATTAGGTCTGACGTACCTCGCGCAGACGCGTTCAGTGCGCCATACGAACTGTCCACATTCCAGTGCGATGCCTCGTAGAAAGCATGCTGCACGCTCTCCATGAAATCCAACATGTCTATGTCACCGGCAAACCATCTCGAGTGGCTATGAGTTGGGTCTGGAGGTTTGCAGACCCGAAGCGATGTCAAAGTTCCACAACGGAGGTGAGCCGCGGCCGGACCAATCGGTGGTTCGCCAAAATTCCCCGCTCATTTTTTTGGACGTCGCAACCTGGGCCCTCGAACTTTTCTTAAGCAACACATACAACCCGCGACAAACCCGAAAAACACCGCCAACATGCCCAAGTCCAAGCGCGCGAAGGTCGTACACCTTACCAAGACCGACAAGAAGGGCAAGGAGCTCTCTTTGAAGCTCTTTGCCAATGTCCAGGAAGCGGCGGACAACTTTGAGCACATTTTTGTTTTCGCAGTGGAGAACATGCGCAATTCGTACCTCAAAGAAGTGCGCGCTGAGTTTGCAGACAGCAGGTATAGCGTTTTGAGCCCCTGTTTGCCGCATCCCGCTGACCACTGACGTTTGCGCAGATTCTTCTTCGGCAAGACCAAAGTCATGGCCAAGGCGCTCGGCCAGACACCAGCAGAGGAGCACCTCACCAATCTTTCACAGCTCACTGAACACCTCAACGGAAACGTAGGCCTCCTGTTCACAAACCGTGAGCCCAGCGAGATCATCGAATACTTTGCCAACTACTCCCAAACCGACTTTGCGCGTGCCGGTGTAGTCGCTACACAGACCTTCACTGTGCCCGCTGGAGTCGTTTACTCAAGAGGCGGAGAGCTGCCCGAGGAAGATGATGTACCGCTACCGCACAGCATGGAAACCACCATCAGGAAATGGGGCATGCCAACAAGGCTCGACAAGGGCAAGATCATTCTGGATGCTCCATACACGATTGCCGAAGAGGGAAAGCCTATGAATAGTCATCAGACAGCCCTGCTCAAGTTGTTCGGCGTGGCCATGGCCGACTTCAAGATTGACCTCAAGGCCTACTACTCGAAGGCGACAGAGTTGGTCACAGAGGTTGGAGCTATGGAGGAATAAGCCCCAGATTGAATACAATTGCATCTTGGCGGCGTTTAAAGGCGTTGGGTTTACTGGGTCAAAAAGTATGGACATCGATGACTTCCATTAAAAAGGTTCAAGCCATCTTCCACGAGTACATCACAATTATACCCTTTTTTGTTACGTCGAAACGATCCATGGATAAATTATTTCTTCTTGTGCAGTGTCTTGTCTCTATGGATACTAAAGCATTAATAACATATAATCATTTTAAATTATTGCTGACATGTAGATCAAAATCGCGGGCCGCTACATAAGCACCTAAAGCATGGCCATACCAGCCACAAGACCTCCAACCATGATCCCAAGAGCCTCTGGAAAGTTGGTGGCGGCCGCACCAGTCGAAGTCGAAGAAGGGGTTAGCCTACTTGTAGTAGCATCTTCAGTCGTGGAACTTGAAGTACGCGACACGCTGACAGACGTAGACGAACGAGACGAAGAGCTCAGAGTGGTTACTGGGCTCGAAATGGTTGAGTCGCTCGAAGTGGTTGAGGTAGACGAGATAGTGGAATTCTGTGAGACGGCTGTTGAAAGTGTAGAGCTAGGAGTAGAGCTAGGAGTAGAGCTGGGCACGGAGCTGAGCATGGAGCTGAGCATGGAGCTGGGCGTGGAACTGGGAATGGAGCTGAGCATGGAGCTGGAAATGGGAGTGGAGATTGTCGAAGAGCTGGCTGACGGAGTGATAGTTGGGGCGCTGGGAAACGCAGGTGTACCATCGGCACTTGTAGGGAACACAAGACCAGAGCTACCGAAGTAGGGCGCGGTATCTTCGTCGAAAATCGGACCCGTATCTGAAAGGGAGGTTGTATCAGCAAACATGTTCCCGCCTTAGACATCTACACCTCATGCTGAGACAAGAACAAACTTACAAGTCGACTGCTGGGCAAGCGCGACGGCAACGAGGCCCGCTACTGCAAGCATAACCTTCACCATTGTCTTTTCCGGGGAGAAAGAGAGTTGAAACCGGTTTTCCAAGGACAACTAGTAACAGTTGTGTTTCCAACTGGTGATGGGAATCCAGGGGGTTAGATGTGATAGCCAAGGAATGCTCCTCCCCTATAAGCGAAGCGTTGCAACAACGATAATTAAAGGGACAAAGCTGTTTATATGCCCAAGAATCACGTAACGCATATACCTGAAGCAGTGAACAATAATGCGTTGAACAAAAAATCGTTTAATCAAAATACAAGAGGCCCAGCAAGCGCAAAAAAAAAACCAAAGAGGCAACAGAGCAAAACAAAGCAAACGAACACTCCCCCATATGCCCTTTTGTAGTAAACTATCTACTACTTACGCCCCAATAAAACCTTCACCCCCACAATCGCAACCCTAAGCTCCTCCCCCTAAAGCAAAAATAGCGAAAGAGAGAGAGTGCGTGACCCTATACGATGCCCGTCCGCCAAAAATAAAAGCCACCGCCATCGCAAGCCCCATCGAATCGTAAAGCCCATCGACTCGCTTTCCATCAGCAAAGCAAAGAAAAAAAAAAGAATGAGCAAAGGCCTTTTTCCGTCGCTAGTAGCGGGCGGGCGCGCGCTTGCGAAATGCAAGCAGCCACTCAGCATGCGCACATGGCGCTTTTCGGTCAATCTCCGTTCAACGCGGGCCCTAGAGCATAAAAGTATACGGGGGGGGTATGTGTGTTTCGGAAGTGGCCTGGGCTGGGCTTGTTCACTCTCTGTGTGTGTCTCTCTCGTGTGTGCGAATCACGAATGGTTGGTTCTCCCGGGTTCTGGCAAGGTGCAAGCTGAAGACCGGGGGGCGGGGGGGCAGGGGTTAGACGAGTAGGTATACGAGACGGGCTGTTGCGGTGTGTTATTGGATGAGTTTAGTTATTCTTGTTCTTGTTCTTCTTTTTTGGGGGGGGAGCTTTGTGTAGTGTGCACAGATGGGCTTTTGGTTTAGGTGATAAATAGTAAGGCGCTTTGGTCTGGTAAATTCAGCATAAAAGCACATACACGCGCGCAGATTCCTTGATAAACTTTCTGTTCCTGGATTTACGGTTGGGGAAAAAACCAAAGCTGGATGGGGAGCCCACTTTACCGATTGGGGAGAGGGCCTTGTTTTTTTCCCTTTCTTTCCCTTTCTCCACATTTTTTGTGCATCTTGCATCTTTTGCCCCTGACAGGGCTTGGCTGGGGGGCGCGCGCTGGGAACGAGGACTTGGCACGTGCGTGCTGGACCGTTTTTGGCGTTGCGTTGATGTGCCCCGGCCTCATTTTGTTTCTTGTCGCCTTGAACAAAGACATGACACTACTTTGTTGAACAAACCTGCTTGATTGGAATCCGCGAGCGGCGCAAGGTGTATCAGGCACTGTTTCACACACAAGGCACAGCGGAGACGGAGGCGGCGTTGGAAACGGTTTTTGTGGGGTTGAGTGAAGCCCGGATTCCTCCCCCAAGTTTGTTCGTTCGTCCGGTACCTGCATGAGTAGTCGAGTTGTCGTATCCAGCCTTACCATGACTCTCAGCCATTGTGCACACGCTACTCGTATAACGACCGCTAGCGTCCACACTCACTAGACGGTGGCGATAAGCTTCTGTCTTTTTGAAATAAGATTTCGGGCAAATAGAGTCCTGTCTTGACTCTGCATTGTGCCGCTGCTGACACGCGTAGTAGCATGGCTCGGTTGCACTGTGACGGCACTTGAGCGTCATCGACATCGACGCATGTGAGTCTTCTTTCCACGTCGGCAATGCCCTGTGGTCTAGAGCGCTTAGCGTATTGATTAGAGAAGGCTGATATCTTGATTTCCCAAGGTTGGTGGAAACTAAGGCAAAAATGGTCATAGATAAACATGTTAAGTCTCATACATCAAATACTACGATGAGCACAAAACAACATTGAACCCCTGAATACAGAATATATCATGGAGAGCACAAGGCTCAAAGAATAAGAGAGACAATATACTCGTATTTTCTGGCCAACATGTTTAGAAGAGTGTCCATGCTACTACGACATGTAAAGAAACAAAAGAACCGTTCATCCGCTGAAAATACAGAAGTTAAGAGTTGACAAAAGGGGACTTTCTCGTAGAATAAGCCGCTGGAAATACATACCTAGTCAGACAGAACTGATCATGTTGCACTAGGTACGGTATTAGTAACAGGTGAGTACGTCTCATATTTGGGTAGCATAACTGCCCCTTCGCTTGTATCTCTGTCAAGCGGTAGGCCTATGAGGGCATTACAAAGTAGCAAAGAACGACTTGACTTTTTTTACGTCTGTTTGCTACGTAGTATCAGATCAATTATTTCACAAAAGAACGGCCGGTTACACCCCAACCTGCCGGAATCGGGTATCAAAAAAATTAATAGAAAATAACAAGATGGTATATCAAAACAAATTTCTGTTCAAAGTTACAATGATATGATGCACTAGAAGCAAAACAGATATAAACCACCGAAAGCGGTGTCGTAATATAAATTATTATAAGACGCGTGTGGCTCACATCCACATCATTTGGAGCCTTTTCAATTCCCCCCCCCCCCCCCTACTCCAACCAAAAGAAAAGCACAGCGACTTATCTAGCCAGATTTCGTCGTCTCTCCAATAACCGTTGCCGACGCACCATCACCAGATGCGACTGTCTCGTCATCGGCGGTAACCACAGCAGTGCTCCTATCAAGCTAGTCCATGATGTCAGTTGAATTTTTCAAAACTTCAGGTTTTATGAATCACGCAAAAAAAAACATAGACTCACCCATCTAACGACGAAAGCAGTTGCTATAAAAACACCGCACACCACAATCATGGTGATGCTGCCTTTTTTCCAGTATGGGACGTCCGTAGCAGGATACAGAACGATACCCCACCAAGTGTATAGAAGCTGGCCTCCCATACTCATGACGTACAGCACCACGCTCCGAGCCGCATCGTCGCCGGTCCGCGAGCAGATTTCGTTTGCCCAGCTGAACATGATGGGGTTGACGACGAAGCTGGTGCCGCTGAGGTAGAAGGCGGTGAAGATGCCTGCGTCGGAGAGGTTACGCACGAGGAGCAAGGCGGCGGTGACGAGTTGCACGAGGGCGCCGGCTATGACCATGGGAAGGCGTTGGCCGGTACGGTCGATGATGAAGCCAGCGGCGATTTGGGAGACGATGGCGACGGCTTGTGTGCCCAGGGGGTAGGTGTTGATGGCTGTTTGCGAGAAACGTTTGGCATGGTACTTGAGCCAGAGGAGAAACATGCCCTGGTTTGGTCGTGTGAGTAGATGGTTTGTGGGGGGGTGGAGGCATGGGGGAGATTGAGATTACCTGGAAGGCAAAGGCTTCGAGCATGCCGGAAGTGACGGCGAACCATGTCAAGATGTATCTGCGGAAGGGAGTCAGTAAAAGCATCGTATGCTTGTCAAGTAAAATTGTTTGCTTACATGTGAGGCTTTCCGAGGACGCGTTTGATAAGGCTCTTCGGGTTGATGCTGTGAGTGTTGACTTTCTTGGGTGGTAGACGAGATGTCGCAAATTGCTTTTCTTCTTCACTCAGATAGAATACTTTGGCCGTTGATGGGAGATCGGGAAATGTGAACTGTTGTGACTTGTCAGCATCTGAGAACCAACACACTCGGATAGCGGGGGCTTACAAAGCCAAATAATCCGAATGGGATTCCCATGAGGCCATCTGTATTATATACATGAGTAAATTCGTGTGTTGAAGGGACATCAGAATGCCCACCGATTATAAAAACCCATTGCCAACCTCTCAAGCCTGCGGTACCGTTCATGGTCTTGTGCATGGCTGTCATCATGAGGCCTGCAAACATACTTCCCGCTTGTCCTATCGCAGTAAAGATGGCCACGCGTTTTGCAATCTCGGATGGTTTGCTAAGGAACATGATAAGTCTTATGTGTCTGAGGATAGATTCTAAGAAATCTGTAAATTTCCATGGAGAATTTCTGTACTTACTACCATGATCCCATGACATACATGGTACCGCTGTACAAGCTGGCCTCCATTAATCCTTGGAAAAAACGGACTGCACACAGCTGCGAATAGTTCTTGCATGCTGCAGAACACATGGTAAGACCAGACCAGAGAATCAAGGTGAGCGGGAGCCATATGCTAGGACGAATTTTCTGGATGATGAGACTGTGCGGAATTGCGCCAACGACTAGACTGTGTTTTTTTTTTTGAATTAGTTGAGATAATAGAGGAGATATTTCGCAGATAATACATACCCACTGGTATACATGGACAGCAAAATACTGTACTCATTTTTCTTAAGGCCAAGATCTTCCCGTAGACCAGCAACGTATGCATTTGCAAATGCCTGACGATCTGCCCCGTACCAGGTCAGTGTTGCTACGTATAGTCAACACAACACCAAGACTCACCGAGATAGTTGAAAAAGTAACATGCGCAACAATAGACCTGAAAGTGGGATTTAGCCATGCAGGCGTAATATCTACAAGTCTACTGACCATGATAAAGATATCTGGTCGCACGCACATTAGTATGACTATGCAACAATAGGAGCCGTGGTACACATACCTAGCTTTATGGTAAGCTTCTTTTCCATGACTTTGCTAGCATCGCCATTGCTAGACTTGGAAGCTACACAAAAAGGTCAACACAGAGCCATATTGACAATCCTCACAAACAGTGTACTTACACCCCAGGACACCCATGTTTGGCTGTGTCGTAACGAGGTGATCGCAGTGGATCTGATAAAGCGGATGATTATCAGATGTACAGGTATAATACCTAACCCTTTATTGCATCTGATAAGCGATGCAAGCGGCCCAGGCCTTACCTCGGGCCAGGAAAGCGTGCGCAAAATTTTTCCACATGGCTTGATCATAGTGTGCCCGAATATTGGCCGTCTTCTAAGGACTAGACCGCACCTTGGGTTATAGCTTGTGTATTTGACCATGTTTTACGTTTTGCACCGGCCCGGTCACTCGACGACGATCATCATGGGGAGCATGAACAT